AATTATTCCCGGAAATATAGTCATTTTCCGACCTTCTGGAAGAAATCTCGAATTATAGAGGAATTGCTAAATTGAGTGCAATTCCAAAATTATTCGAAAACTGATTACTGATGTAATTTCTCATAAAGTTCAGCCAATCTTAAGTCCATATCAACATGGTTTTCGTAGTGGCCTCTAAACCATTACCAATCTTCCTCAACCGTCATAAAAGGTTTTATTCAGCGTAATCAAACCGACACGATTTACACTGACTTCAGTAAAGCTTTTGACAGCTTTAACCATGAACTTTTAATATATAAATTAAATCAAATTGGTTTCAGTATAAATTTAGTTAAATGGATATCATCTTATTTGAGAAATAGATCTCAGGTAGTGTTGTTCGATTATTGTCTCTCAAAATCCATTAATGTTCCTTCCGGTGTTCCCCAAGGAAGTCATTTAGGTCCACTCCTCTTTCTTCTATTTATAAATTATTTACCAAATGCAATAATAATACTCCAAATTGCTAATGTATGCTGACGATGGCAAGTTGTTTATCACCCATAACTCCATGAAGCAAGCTGATTTACTTCAAAATGATTTAAATAACCTTTTTCAATGTTGCGAATTAAACTGTATGGATTTAAACCTAAACAAATGTAAGCATATGTGTTTTTCCAGATCTTCTACTTTAACAAGGCAATACAATATTAATGGTACTGTTTTATCAACTGTAGATTCATTTAATGTAATTTTTGCACTGAGAGGTTTACATTGGAATAGTGACTTTGTGTTGCCTTCTTACACTAGCAAGTTAAAATTAATTCGAATGCCTACATTAAAAAGTAGACGTATTATGTTGAATACTATGATAGTAATTAAAATAGTAAACGGTAATATACCCTCAGACTTCCTAATTTCATCCATTAGAATGAATGTTCCTTTTCGATCAAGTAGATATTATCAACCATTATACGTAGATTTTCATCGCACAAATTATTCTATGGGAGATCCACTTAGTAAAATGTGTATTGATTTCAATTCTGTGTATTCTAACGTAGACTTTTGCATGAATATAGAACTAATAAAATCTAATATAATCATATTTGTAAATGAATAATACAACTTAATAACAAACTGGCTGTTGAAGTAGATTTCTGTAGCTGGTTTTCTATCCCTTCTCATATTCCATCATAATGCGGATTATGGTGTGTACGCGATCCCTACGAAAGGGGAGGTCGCCCCCTCGGTCGGCAGGGGTGGGAAAGAGAGTCGTGGGAACGTACGAAAAAAAGACAATGTTTATGTTACAAGTCACTTAACATAATACACATCTGTTGCACAGGTGCAAGGCCGAGGCCATGAACAAATTCGCTGAATTTGCCATATTTATAAAATGTATACACTTAGTTATAAGAATTTGCACAACTGGATTATTGTGAATTATATGAAAACAAATTGTACTTATGTAAGTAAAATGATTTGTACACGTATCCTAATTACTCTCGTTAAGTTAAGCTCTTTTTAACGAAAGTTCTCTGAAGCGCCGCTTACCCAGTCAAATGACACTTATCATTAAGTCACTCTTTTAACTGACTTGCACTGGTATGCCTCTCGTCTCTATCTCAATAAACCATATTAGTTTACGTTTTGTAACTTTCATAGAAAACTACGCTAATTCCTCATTGGCTATGAGGAATAATTCATAAGCTCTCTAGCATACAGTCCACTCAGCGCAGTTGGGATATTTCGTGAGTTATTTATCGCTCCCTACATATTTACCTCCAGCGGAATCACAGCAACAGAAACCCATAAAGAAATACAATTTTTAAAAACTCTTTTCGCAGTATCAAAAGCTGCACCAATTTCTTTAAACTTTTCCGCTAAACCATCCAGCAAAAATGACAGACAAAAAAATTTCATTATTTTTAACATCCATTTCCAGCAGGCTCGAAACACATATGTCGTATTCAATCAGATAATCGGACAAACTTTGAACAGATGACATTTTCAAATTAAGTAACTTTCGAAACATTTCGGTTTTACGTCTGGTTGACTTTCTGTCGCCTGTTTCTTGAAAATATTTCCAAATTTCCCAGGTCCCAATCGATCTGTTCTCTTGCCCAAATACATATTTCAACAATCATGCCTTTTGAAGAACTGCTTCCATTTCCAATTCGAATTCGTCCATTAAAGATGGCCATTTCAATTTACTGTCTATTTGTTACAATATTTCTTCTCAAAGGTTACAGATTAAGACCCATAACCTGTTAAAAATTAGAAGATAGTTTTTTATAAAAGCACAGCAACGTTTATTGTTAATATATTTTTAGCTATAACAGTTTCTTCAAACGGAACTGCCATGTCAAAACCAAAATCAAAAGATTTACCTGTATACTAAAAATTTTTTTTGGTGCAATCAATCAAATGGCCAATGTTATAATATAAATAATGCTTCATGCATAGCGGGTTTGTTATAATTCTAACAGTTTATTGAAAACCAACTACAACGTCAAAGCCAAACCCTCAAATATTACCTCCACACTAAAAAAAATTATATTGCAAGCAATCAAATTACCAATCGTTAGCTAAAATGCAAATAGGAGTAACTAACAAAAAAATGAAAATTGACTTTTTGAATGAATATTGTGAATGTCAATAAACTAAATGTGTTGACAAAGTTTTACACGCCTGCGATCAAAAATGGAGCTTCTTTAACAAAAAACAAAAGACGTAACTACATGTGGGTTCATTTGATAAATGCAAAATGGCGTAACTAACAAAAAATTCAAATTTTTACTTAATTGTTATGACTGTCATTAAACTAAATAACTAAAAAAATTATAGTCGATTATATATTATATTGTTAACTTAGAAAAATCTTTATTTGACATGTTTATAGTTTTCATTCAAAACAGTTTATTGCTTCTCCTACACAATAATGCTTTTGTTATTACGCCTTTCTGCATTTTAGCTAACGGATTGTTATAATTCTTATTAGTGAACATGCATTATGCTACATGCAAAGTGATTTTGTTTTAATTCTAACCGTTTCTTCAGAACCAAATACCACATCAAAACAAAAATCTCAAATGTTACCTGTATACTGAAAGAAAAATTCTGTGTGCATCCAATGCCTAATGTTATAATTCTTATTAGTGAACACGCATAAAGCTATATGCAATGCGGTTGTCAAAACCGACTACCAATTCAACACCAAAATCTCAAATTTATTCTGCATACTAAAACTTGTTGGTGCAAGCTATCAAAAAAAAACTTTTTGGTACAAACAATCAAATCACCAATGTTAACATTCTTATTAGCGAACATGCATAATGCTATATGCAAAGCAGTTTAGTTGAGCCTTTAACATTTTCTTCAAAATCAACTACCATGTCAGACCCAATGGCCAATGTTATTAATTCTTATATCATTAGTCATTTTCTATACGCAAAGTGCTTTATTTGTAACTCTTATAATTTCTTCTAAAGCAACTGCCATGTCAAAACTAAAATCGAAAATTTTACCTCAAATTACCAGTGTTAAAATTCTTATTAATGAAGATGCATAATGCTATACGCAAAATCTCAATATTTACCTGCACACTGAAAAATTTTTTGGTGCAAGCAACCAACTACAATGTCAAAACCAATGTTATAATTATAATTAGTGAACATTGATTATCCCAGCAAACATTTTTTTCCGAATTCGTTCAGAATTCGGTCCTAATCTCTGAACAAATTGCCAATTCTGATGCAGAATTCCTTCCGATTTCGGTACAAAAGTTGTATGGACGTGGTCAAGGAAATCGGAAAGAAATTCGGAACAAATATTAGACTTCCGACGGATCGACTTCGGTCCGAATTCGGTAAATTGGCAAATATTGGTAAATTCTGAGGGAAGTTTAGATCGAGAGAAATCGGTCAAATCTTTTAAAGTTCGGAAGTAAACAAAATACAAATGGTATCCCAAATAACCCGCCAAACACTACTGTTCGGAAGAAACTTTAGATTTTCTGACAGAAATAGTAGTATCTAATAAGCTCCTCTTGCTCACTTTTATAGCCACTTTTATTTATGAACAGTGAGAAGATAGTTCTTTGTGAGTATTCTTGGGTTATACTATCATGGCTGCTAGGCAGATATATGAGGGAGACTGGTTGTGTGTATGCATTTGTTGTTGTTTATTACATTTCGTTGCTAGACAGAAATATGTGCGTCTAAATGTACTTGTCATTGTTGTTGGCATTTGCTGCATACCGATTCTAAGCAGAAATATGCGTTCGAGTGTTCTTGTTGTCATTGTTGTTGTGTTTCTTACATTTCGTTGCTAAAAAAAATATGAGAGAGTACATTTAGGCGCACAGGCCTGAGTGTACTTGTTGTCGTTGTTCTTATTTGCTACATATCGTTGCTAAGCAGAAATATGAGGAAGACTGTTTTTGTGTTCGAGTGTTCTTGTTGTCATTGTTATTGTAGTTTATTGTATCTTGTTGCGAGACATAAATTAGGGAGAATACGTAAAAATCAATTGCGTTATGTGTTTGTGCGTCTAAATACACTTATTATTGTTGTTGATTATACCAATTAAAAATAAAATTTTCATTTGAAAATGTTTGTTATTATGTATGTTTACACGTAGAGTGTCAATGATTTTTCAATTTGATACTTCTTAATCAGAACAAAATATATAACTATCGGTGGGAATTTACATACTGAAATATATATAAAAGGGTATTGCGAGTCAACTCTATATGAAGAACATTTTTAAAACATCACTTTCAGTTGAGACTTCGATCTAAAGGTACCACATATATTTTTTTTTCAAACAGATCAAAAAATCTTTAAAATGCACCAGGCAAATTTGTTTTCAATTTCAGCTCTAAGACTTTCGTTAGCGGTTTTGCATTTAAAAAACATTTGCCGACGAACAAAATGTGCAGTATTTGTAAACAATTCTTTATTCATACGCAAGCATTAAAATTACATTATAACTTGAACCATCCTTTGGAATTACAAAGTATGTGGGACTATGAACAAGAACAACAAATATTACGTGAAATGAATAGCAGACATCATCAACAACAACGAAATGTACAGACGAATCAATTGTCAATGGATATGAGAAATTGGCAAAATGAAAATCCTTGGAATGGAGTATTACCTAGTGCAATTCCTCACAATTATACACAACAATATTATCAACAAACCCATCAGGAATATAATCCCCAACTTCACCAACAATATCTTCAGCAACAGAATCAACAGCATATCCAGCAACAGCATCCGCAATATTATGAAAATTCACGTCATCAGTTCAACCAACAACAGCAGTATTATCAACTACAGTTTCCCCTACAAAATCAAGAATACAACCAACAACAACCTCAAGATAACTCTGAACCACCTCAAAAAAAAAAAAAAGCAATCAGACCTACCTTAACAAAATCAACAAGAAAGTCAATGCAATCCACCAGACACACATATATTTTGTGATTCATGCAAAGTACACATTCTAAAAAATTATGGTTTAGACATTGCAAAACTTCTGTTCATAAAGAAAATAGCTCTAAAATAATTAACGAAAATAATAAAGAACGGCTTAAAAAGTCGAATTGAAACATTTGAATACAAGTTCAATAAGATTGTAATTGATATAGATGAAATCTACTCAGAGCCCAATAAACCAATTGTTCAATTACTGAATAACGCTTTAGCTCGCCATAATGTGATCAAATTGAATTTGGAACTCATTTGTCAATATATCAGGTATATGGAGAAGATGTTACGATACAAAGCACGCAGCACAGCACAAAAATTTGTCAGGTTACGAGAGATGATAGCTTGGATGATATGATGAACTCGGACATCTTATTTTTTAAAGCAACATATTGAAGCGTGAACGTGATTCAGCATAAAAATATTTGAGAAGAATAATCCCAACATAAGCGTAAATGTGTTCGGTTATAATAAAGCTGTAAAGGTTGTTGTTGGATTATATTACAACACTAAAAAGGAGAAGTCTGTACACATAAATTTGGTATTGTTGGAACAGGAAAAAAGCACACTAATAATGTTTCAAGGTAAATTATAATGTAACTATAAACTCATATAAAAAAAAAATATATATATATATATTATTTTTAGATTACTAAGAAGTCAGTTGGCTCTATCAACAAGAGAACTATTGATTTGCAATCAATGCTTCTACTTCACATCAAATGACAGGTTAATTAAGCAACATGCAAACCAATGCAGTCGAGTCATTGCCAATGTTCCATTTGTGGTGTATGCAGATTTTGAATGAGTTTTAGAAGATAAAGATAACATAGGAAACAACGTAAATAAGCATGTCCCATGTGCTTTTGGTTTTAATATTAAGCGTAGTTTTGACAGCAGTTTAGATAGATTTCATTCTTATAGTGGTAGATGGACCATGTAAGGAAATTTTCGACATATATCTGACCGCAAATTGCCCAATGATACCTTTAAGGTAAAGTTAGAATTCATTATTCAATACTATGGTTAATTGCTATATTTGTAATAAAGAGTTAGGTAATGATAGGGTTCGTGATTATTGTCACATAACAGGTCAATATAGAGGGGTTGCGCATAGTGAATGTAATTTGAATTATGTACTTCCAAAATTTATTCCCATTTTCTTTCATAATTTTTCTTCATACGACTGTCATTTATTCGTGATAGAGCTATTAAATTCCATTCGTGGGAAAACTACAGTTATACCTCAGAAAAAGGATTATATACTTCATTATCCCACAAAATACATATGGGAGAGGGTGAAACATTCGAGTACAGTTTTCTAGATTCGCTTCGCTTTATGGCACATACTTTAAATGCATTGGCCACCTATTGTAAAGATTCTGATTCGTTATCTATAAGAAGTCATTTTCCGAATAATAATGAATTTAGTTTGATGAGAAAGAAGTGAATATTCCCGTTATAAATATATAAATACATTTGAAAAATTAAACGAAACAGTTCTTCCACCCATTGAAGCTTTCTGTAGCAAACTATATGATAAACACTGAAGTGTTGAAGATTACAAACATGCCAAAAAGGTGTTGGACACATTTAGTTGTAAAACAATTAGAGACTATATAGAATTATATTTAAAAACTGAAGAAGCACTGATATTTTTGAAAATTTTAGAAAGTCTTGTAAAATTATACATAAGCTAGATCCGTGTCAATATTACAAAGTTCCAGGTTTATCTTTTGATGCTATGCTTCGACAAACCAAAATTAATTTGGTTTTATTGACAGACTTAGATATGTTTTATTTATTTAAGTATGGTATTAGAGGTGGTTTAACACAATGCTCAAAAAGACATACTAAGGCCAACAATAAATACATGAAAGATTATAACGCAAAGAAACCATCTAGTTATCTATTATATATAGATGCTAATAATTTGTATGGATGGGCTATGCAGCAATGTCTTCCATCAGGAGATTTTAAGTGGGTGGAACCCGAATATATGATAGTTGACGAGAAGACAATCCGAAACTTTAAGCCGAATCAGACTACAGAATTTGTATACTTAATTGACTTGGCGTATCCAATTGAACTGCATGATGTACCTAATGATTTACCTTTTTGTTAGGAAAATAAATAAGTAGGAAGTTCCCAATATGCAAAGCTTATTGCTGATTTTGCTCCAAAATTACAATATCCCATTCATTATATGTTGTTAAAACAATGTTTAGGTAATGGATTAATATTACAAAAGGCAATCTCCATGGTTAGCCTCATATATTAATAACAACACAGAAGAAAGAAAAAGGCAGAAACTTTTAAGAATTTTTTTTAAACTATTGAACAATGCAGTATTTGGTAAAACTATGGAGAATATCGACAAACGAAAAGACGTAAAATTGGTTACACATTGGGGTAATATAAATCGAAACAAACTAGTAGCGGGGTCATTGATTTCAAAACCAAATTTCCATAGTGCCTCACAATTTTCTACCAATCTTTGGGCTATTCAAATGGATCGATTGAATGTGACCTATGATAAACCAATTTACTTAGGCTTTTGTATTCCAGAATTAGCAAAGGGGAAGTATATGATTTCCACCATGAATATACGAAGAGAAAATTCGGTGAACGTGTAAATTATATGGATACGGACTCATTCATATATACAATAGAAATAAGACCTGATATTCATCAATTCTTTGATACATCAACCTACCCAGAAACTAATATATATATATGACATTCCTCGTTGTAATAATAAGGTTATTGGGATGATGAAAGATGAGAATTGTGGGTAAATAATGTTAGAATTTGTTGGGTTAGGTCCAAAGATGTATTCTTATAAGGTTCAAAATGGTCAAGAGGTGAAAAAAACTAAAGGCGTTAAAAGTGTGCCATTGGGCGTTACACAATTGAGGATTATAAAAATAGTTTATATAATCAAATAACAATAAGTAGAGGTTTAACCTTCTATATCAGGATTTATATTACAAGTATACAATGAAATTGACAATTGAAACCCACTGGGTTAACGAAATCCGGTACAATGTAAACGTACTATTAACTTTAGATCTAAGTTGTATGAAGTATACACCAGCAAATTATATAAAATAGTTTTAAATTTTGTAGTCACTAAGAGAAAAGTAAAATTAGACAAAGTTAATACGTATGCTTGGGATCATGCGGATATTGTTGGCGAAGATGCTCTGAATAATATATTTGATAACTTCACATCTGAAACGGATGTCGATTTATGACTAATATTGCTCTAATTATTATTAAACTAATTATATCTGTACAAATATTTATATGTATATTTTATTAATTCTCTTCATTAATGATTGTATGTAAACTATTATATAAAAAAAATAAATAAATAAAAAGAAAATGCTGATATGTAAAATAATTAAATATTTTGTTTTATTTTATTAATGTAAAAATATAAAAAAGATTTGTTAACAAAAAATCCTATAATCTACAGAATAACACATTTAAAGTATCTTTCGTACAATTCCAGTCAAAGGTGTATATTCTATTAAACGATCATGAAGAATTAGACAGAATGCTGATGCTCCTGCTGGGATTTGTTGTATTTGTTTAGATTCAGACCATCATATGGATATGCTTCTGAATTTAAATGAACCTTTACATTCACTAAATTGGAGTGAATGAATTTGTTATCTTTCTCTTTAGCCAATAGAACAAAACGTTGTTGTTCTCTATTAGTCGATATTTTAACATTGTAATAGTAATAGTTTTGAAGGATCCGATAGATGTACATAAGGTATTCTCCATTTTATGTTTGTGATTATTACATTTAGTTTCTCTTTCGGATCAGTTGAATAAACCACTTTTTATCGGTTGTACTCCGCAGCATAATAAGATCATGTTTACTATGTACTACAACTTTATTATAATCTTCTGCAAACACTCGCAGCATTTTGAAAGGAACACAAAAGTTGAATAAAACCATAATTTAAGCCTCCTCCATCATTACATCCTGCATTTCTCATTATGTTAAATTCTGCTTTAGAGATGGATGCAAAATTGTTTATTGTACTCGATGTACCTAAATAACGGGTAGGATAAATTTCTATTCTATTTAATTCATATCGAATTTCATCAAATAAATATGCAACACAGTTATTTCGCAAACGAACATTAAATGAAACTTTGCCTCCTGGTAATGTTATCGAACCTTCGACATAAATATAACTTTCGCTTGGTACAACATATAAATCTTGATTTCTATAGTGCTTCTTATTTCGTCATTATTTTTACATGATCGAATATATGGTACATAGCTATGGTAGTCTTTCTTGATAATGGTCTCATCTGAAAATGGGTTGTCCTCAACATTTAGAATATCATTAATTTTTCTTCAAATGTAGATTGATGGATCTTAAAAACAGTTTATTTTTATCCGTAATAGATAATGTTTTAGCTTTGATAGTCTTAATTGGAATGTGCGCATTTTTATGTTTTGTTATATATTTATTATATATAATCATCTTTTTATAGGTCTCAAATGCAGACGAAGGATGATTTCTTCTCATCTAAAGTAAATAAATACTTTAAATACTTTAATACTTTAAATCGTTCAACAATAGATGCCGTTTTCCGCAATATGTTGAGTAGTGGTTAATCGAATCCATATCCATTAGTTTTTTAAAATCTTTATTAAAAAATTCTTTACCATCATCAGTTTTTAAATTCTTGGGTTTTCGGTCAATTTTTAATATTTGTTTAAATGCAGTACAAACATCAATAGAATTTTTTGATTTTGTTGCTTCTACCCAAGCATACTTAGAGAATGTGTCAATAGCTGTTAGCATGTATTTCATTTCTTTATTTATTGTAGAATAATTCCCCATTTCAACTAAGTCTGCTTGCCATAGATCATAAATTCCTTTTGTGATAACTCTCCGACGAGGAAAATTTTTTCTTGCTTGGGAATGGAGTTAATTTACAATGATTCTTCTTTCCATAAATCACTTATTAAGAATCTTGTTAAGAATAATAATATCTCAGATATATCTCAGGGCTTTCGTAACCTATTTTTTTCAATTCTTAATTTTTTTTATTTCAGCAGATACAACTCTTATTATTATTTCTTTAGCGTATACGATTTGTGTTTGT